TTCTATTTGCATAGTATTACTATAATGATATTAACTAAAATATTTAATTGTATTATTAAATTACTTCTATTTAATATAAATAATGTGCTGAAATTTGCTATTCTCTTGTCTTCTTGTACTTCCAATTTTTTTTTGTTATGTTTATTTCGATGCTATTTCTTAGCACATAAAGTTTCATTACCATCAAATCTTCACTCTTAATCAGTGTTTCTCAATATGTAGTCCTTGGACCAACAGCATCAGTCTCACCTAGGAATCTGTTAGAAATCCAAATTCTCAGGCCCCTCACCAGACTTAAGGAGTTGGAAACTCTGTGAGTGGGACCCACTAATCTGTTAAGAGGCCTCCAGGTGATTCTGATGTACACTTAGAGAACCACTGATCTGTTTCAAAACTTCTAGCAATGTAAAATGATTCTAAATGACTCAATTGATGATTACTATGACCACGCTGCTTTCTTTTTCTTTTCTGTTTTTGTAATATGTTTCTGCCTTCTAATTTCATTGTTTTCTATGTAATTTTTGTTTAGGGATATCTAGGAACATAGCAAATCATTGCATTTATTTTATGATCAAATCGGAGAATGTTTAAAACCTTTTTTAATGGAAAATTTAAACCATTTACATTTATTCTCATGCTTGTTACACTTGGTCTTTCTAAGCCATTTTATGCATTCTGTGTGTGTGCTTTTTAATATTCCCTTTCCATTCTAATTTTCTGTATAAGCCACATTTTGTTTTAATCTTCTGCAAATATTTGGAATTCTGGTAAATTGCATCTAAAACATTAAAATCTATGTTTAGTTATCAAATATACAGACTGTCATTTTTACTGTAATCTATTGGATATGTGGAGATTAGCACTGGTATTTTCTCTTGCCCTCTAGTCTTTTTCTACCTTCCTTTATTTTGAATTCAGATTATATTCTCTTTTAAATTTATGTAATATGTATAATTTCTTTACAAATAACCTTTTGTCTTCTGTGTAACCACATCTATCACTATTACTTAAATTATGTCTACATGTTTAATATAGTCAATGCTCACTGTACTTTAATTAATGTCTCAATAACCCTGAACAATTCATGACTAAATTGTTAAGCACTATTATGTAGGTGTATATTTTTCAAAACATTTCTCCAGACACCAAACATATCTGACAGTGTCTTCCTATCTTCTTCACATAAGAACCACAGCGTTCTCCAAGAAGTTCTATATGCATCACTACATTGTTTTCTGGCTTTTCGCATTGACAATGCTTTTTGCTCATTTGTCAGCAACCAATTTCTTTCTTCTCTGTTCAGGATGCCTGTAGAATTTGTTTCTTTTTCTTTGAAATCCAATTTTTTAAAGACTTTTTTTCAATTCAGAAATATTTTTATTGCCTTTTTCTTTGTTTATTGCCTGTACTCCATTTGTTATGGATTCTTTTTTTTAGAATACCTAATTATGAAGTGAATTTCTGCTCTCTATTGCTGGTAGTTTCTATCTTCTTTCATATTGCTTGAATATCTTTGGCCTTTTCCTCTGCACTCTGAAAACATTTAAAGCTCATTTTCTACCTGATTGATTTTCTTTTTTTTTTTTTTTTTTTTGAGACAAAGCTCACCCAGGAGGCAGTGGCGTGATCTTCGGCTCACTGCAACCCTCTGCCTTCCAGGGGTTCAAGCAATTCTCCTGCCTAGCTTCAGCAGGGCGCCTACCCAGCTTCCCAAGTAGCTGGGACTACAACAGGCGCCCCGCCGCCATCCCGCGCTACTTTTTGTATTGTTAGTAGAGCAGGTTTCAGCCATGTCAGGCTGATCTCCGAACTCTGAGCGCGCAATCCATCCTGCCTCCAACTCCCAAAGAGCCAGGATTGAGCCATGAGCCACCTACACCCAGCCTAGACGCTTTTTAAGTAGTGTGTCGTCACTCTTTCCTTATATGGGATTTAGTTAGCTACTACATACTTTTTTCCATTTTCACACATCATTTTATGTGTCATTACTCCCCATCCCCACCCACCATAACAGCCTGGTCAAGTTAATGGAAGAAAGTATCTCTTTTAGGATTGATATTTTTTTTATGGGTTCATTTACTTTGCACAAAATCTATTTCCAGAAGAAAGTATTTGCTTAGTCACAGTACATTACTGCTTCTCTTGTGCTAGCAGAACGTTTCCATAAAACCTTATATTGAGCTTCTATACTCTCATCTTTATTGAAGGAGATATATCTACCCAGTATTGAACATTGCCCCAGAAAGATGTTCTGGGACTATCAAAGATGGGTGCAGGATGCCCTCCCAATTCCCCTCCACATTCCCAGCTCAGATCCAACAGGAGGAAATGAGTTCCAACAGGTTACAAATC